TTTTCAGTAACAATTTTAGTCTGTATGTATGTGCACAACAAAGCTCCGGTCAGTTTGATTTTGACGACTGGCTTCTGTGTGTCTGCGGAAAGCTCTTAAAGCCCGAGTATCCCACCTGTTGAAGACACGCCTCCTGTGAAAAAACTGAAACACCCCCGTAGCTGTCATTAGCTTTCCACCCCTATAGTACTATCACTGACACTACTACCACCACACAAAGTCCACGGTGTATCATACAAATAATATACAAACAAAATTAGAGAGAATACGAATATTTCTTCGTAGAAAGGACATGAATATTTCCATAGTAGGCTAATCAAAATTATAGTATAAACTATAAGTAAAAGGGATGTAGTTATTTATTTTGTAAATTACTACATTTTTTGATATCAATTGAAAATACGTACCAATAGAATTAAGTTTTAGACTTATACTTAACTTAGGTACCTAATCATAATTTTAGGGTACATTATATTTAAATTATTTTTGCTTTTGAAAAATGTACATATTTTGTATTTACAATGATTATTACCTACTATCAAAAACTTACATAGACTACAAAATTAGTCTCAAAAGTTAAATAAAGATTCGAGTTATAAATTATATTATCAATGGTTTAAATTATTAAACAGGCAATTTGAATCCAAATTATCCTTTTTATACTCAAAATAGTTAAAGGAGTAGTTGCTGGCCAATTGCAACTCTGTAGGTCAAGATAAGTGTAGGTATATTTATATACCTAAGCAATTTTTGGACACGTTATAATCTTCAAATATGTTAGCTTTTATTAAATAATTTCTAGGTTTTTAAATATTCTACTTTTTTTAGTTTTTTTCTAGAAAATATAAATGATGATAAAAAATGTCATGCTCTGCTTCAAAAATTGAAAATGTATTACAAGGTTTATCATAATAGAATTTTAAAAAAAAGTTTGGCTTAAACTCTGCAAAATAAATTTTTTACGAATTATTGTAAACACATATAATATTACAGTGACCTACACAGTTATAAGGTAAAGTTAGTGCTTTATTCAGCTTTTTTATGTGCAGGGGTATTTCTCCCCCGGTCACCCCCCATGAAGGCCTGAAGCAATTACTGTGTACAGTTGACTCCTAGCACATATAGGTATATACTGCAGTAGAGCAACTTCTCTTTTTAAATTATTATCATTGGCATATGTGGAAAAATTGTAATTTTTATAGATACTATAGATAGATATATCAATATGATTGTATGCTGTATTCCAAATTTCCACATTCGTCAAGTCAACTGTACTTCTGGTATTTCGAACTATTTGAAATACTTCCAAAAACATCCTAGATATTATGTTAACGATTTAGGTATATACAATTATACATCGTTATTACTTATTGTTGAAAATATTTACAGAATATTACTAAAATATTCACTCACTAGATAGATGATAATAGCCAACAGATACAGTATTTATTATATAAATTTAGCCATTTAGGTACAGTCTCTATAGATTCTATAAGAAGTATTAAGCACACCAATCGTTATAATAACCTCTTTACATCAATGATATATTTGTCTCTTGTGTGGACAATTACTGACTAGTGACTACCTACTGTTGATACTTTTTTTTAATATTAGGTATATAGTTCATACCACGGACTAAAGGGGGGGTTCACACTACACCGTGTAGTGTGAACCCGCCTTAAGATATATATCTATATTATATCTTAGTCGGTGGTTCATACTAAAAGGAGTAAAAGTACACTACATGTTTTAGGTAAATCAATGTGTGTCATCTATATATAATTAGTACACCTGTTACATATTTTCTAATTTCCTATAATCTTATAAATCACATATTTATATGTATCTAATGATTTTATATTGCAAATATACACTACGAAATTCCTTTAAAAATGGAAATAATTACCTGTGTGGCTGTGTATATTTTTTTATAAAAAGTCATAGCTGACGTATTAACTATTAATACCTACATACCTATTATATTAAACCCTAACGCGTATACTACTTATAACATTTTTGTAGATATATAGTATTTACCTATATATACCATACCTAATACACGTCTTGTATTAATTTTTTTTAAATGTAAGCTGAATAATAACTATAAATTATTTGACACAACTTAGAAAGTGTAAGTATCCCATAAATTGACTATCTATAATCGCTAAATAAGTAGGTACCTACTTAATAAATTATAACTATTCAAACAACACGCTGTTCCAAAAATACAAAAGCCCATATTTATTAAAAATTCAAATGTTATTTTTTAATCTGAATTTGTTGTAATTATTTTAAAATAGATACCTATACAGTATATTATATAGGTACATATATTTTTTGATAGAGATCAGAGGAAAATGCAATTTTAGTATACAGATATAGGTTATAAGTAAGGTACCTATTATACCGTTGTGGGATCATCTATGATAATATTTACATATTTTTTAAGTTTTTTCTAAATGTAATATTATTATGTGGTGTATATTTTTACTATATTTTGTACTTTTGTACAACGTTATTTAATAGTAATTAGTATTACAATTAGTTTTACGGATTTCCTAAATCCTAATATTCCTATTTCCTACAACATTTCAGCTCTTAAATAAGAAAAACAATTTCAATAGATTTTGTTAAGTGGTCTAGATATTTAAGACATCGATAAGAAATTTCAGTTACTTGTATGACGGTATTTAACCATTTAAAATCGTTCTTTATAGGTACCTGATAAAATAAAAAAATAAAACTATAGTACATATTAACAAATAGGTAGGTAGTAGGTACCCTACCCGTGTAAAGATAATTTATATTTATCTCACAGTTTTACATGTACGCATATACCTACATAGGTGACGTGATAGTGTAGGTGCCAAAGAATAACTATCCCTGTAAGACTGTACCATAGGCACAAATAGGGGGGGTCTACCCCCCCCCTAAATCTCAAACTCTATTTGCGCCTATTTGGCTGTACATAATATAATATTAGTATTACACTATTATTATTATTTTTAGCCGTGAGCTGTGCTGCAGTAGGTACCTACCTAATTAGTAATTAGTAATTACATTACATAAAGTAATTCACGAACAAAGTTAATAATTATTTTTAATAAAACGAAATACGAAAGTCGATCATAGAGCATAGTCGAGTGTGATATTGAGGGTTTGTGATTTTACGATCAACAGTTGAAGATTGACGATTGATGAATGACGGTAGAAGGTAGAACTAAAATAAAAGTGTAATATTTATAATATTTATAATAACCCCCCATACCGTTGGCGCAGGCTAGCGGTATAACGTGCGCATTTCCACGTAGGTATGCTTGCTAAAAGGTTAACACGCAGCAGTAATGTCACTGTCCTTATCACCAAAATTATTATCCCATGTTATCACAGTCAGCCTATAAACGTCCTAAACAAGGAGGATACCTATATTATATCCACCTTGGTGCTAAAGTAGGTATATAGAGTTCATAGATTTATAGCTTATATTATTGACTATGGACTATGATTCTAGTATATTATGTTTATGGCCGGGTCTCTCTATTACAATTTATGACTCTATGACTATAAGCGTAAGGTGATCATAAATATTGGGGGGAGCTTGAATTTTTGCTCTCCACAGCCTCCTTTAGTCCTTTCAGAAATAGAAATTTAAATTTCCTATTTTCATTAGAATCTATTTATGTTGACTAGTTGACTTCACTTTTGATTTTTGAATACTGTAAAAAGAATACAATATTCGTAAAGTACATAAAAAAAAATCTTCATTAAGGGTTAATTGCTATCCAAATTAGTATTATTTTAAAATTGTATAAATGTTTTTCTGTACCTACTTAGGTAAATTCATGTATTAATTACCTACACAACTTTTATAATATGTAGTACTATTAAAAATGTTAATTTTTTCATTAGTAAAAATGTTGTTCAGATTATTTTTATTTTTATTTTTGGTAACTATTAATTCGAAGTCCACATAAAAAAAAAGGTCGGTATTAAAGTTAACGCAATATGACCATTTGTCCCAGAGTTTTGTTAACTAAAAATAGTAAAATGTGTAGTATTTCAATGTTATTTTTATGAAAGTTCAATTTCATGCCATACGGACATACGGATGGTGGGGTCTGGGGTAGCGGCAGTCAGTGGAGGGCTGAAAAGCTCTATTTGAAGCAGCTGCGTCAACTACTCAAAGGGGGTGGTGCCACCCCGTGACCATTACATGCTAAGACCTGACCATTTAGCATAAGATTTTTAGTACCTAGTATAGGTAATCCGATTAGAAAAATCCGTTACAATTCTATTAATATAATACACATAACAGAACAATTACCTACTCAAACAAGCTCCAGGTAAAATAGGATTTTAATAAATAGGCAAATTGGCTGCCAGTAAATTAGAAAAGGTATTTTATAAAATTGTTAGGTTTAAAATACTTGAAGCTTTTTCAGCGATTTTAAAAGATGTAGAAACTTTCATCCAAGGGAGAAATAAAATACATAATAATATATTGTGTATTATCAATTGTTCAATGGTTTCTGTTGATAATAAAGATAATATTATCTATAAACCTAGAACAATAATATTGTCACTTGATAAGAACACGTTAAAGTGATAATGTGTGACATAATATTTTGTTCATGACGTTTTAAAAATGTATAATGTTTAAATGTATACCTCGATGTATACAGTTTACTAATTATTAATTAATAACTATGTATAAACTATGAATGTAAATACTAAATATGTAATAATTTAATTATAACATAAAATAACAAAAATACTGTGTAGTGTGTACGCATTACAGAGTAATATTCAAACAGAAACATCTGGCGGGTAACACTTGGATTGTCACATCATCAAGTACAGTAAGTAGTAGTCGTCTGTTAGTTGTATCATTGTATGTATCTCAATCAAAATGTATCACTGATACAATATCATATTGCCTAAAACAGTACATAGCCTGTTAGTCTTTATTTTTTATAGGACTTGTTGAATTGTGAGATCCGATGGGGTTCAATGTGGACACTCCGTTTTCTGTGATTGCCGACTGGTCTTGGGGCGAAGTGTGCAAGTATGCCCGTGAGGCGGCTGTGTTCTTGGACGATTATGCTGCCGAGTCGCTGCACTGGCACGGTGGATGTGTGCTTCTGTATCGAGCTGGTGCCAAAAGTGTCAAGGAGTTGTCATCTTTTGAAGTGAGACCGTGTTCCAAGAGATTGACCCAAGACATTTTAGTTGAACTTTTTTATTTAACTTGTGCAGAGTGGCAACCCAAAAGACCGCAGATGCTTATTGATTATTGGAAAACCTGTCGATGAACTGGCAGTAGCGATTGTCCGTGATGTTTTGAATAACAGTAATTTTAGATATTGTCGTTTTGTTGCTGGATGTGGGTTTGAATCATATAGTGTTGAAAAGCTGGAGAATGAACTATGCAAAATTATTTCAGCTAAGTACGAGGTAGGATTACTCATTTGAGTATCTATATTTTTACTTACTTATTTTCTATAATTGATTGTTTAGAATCTTCATAACATAGCCCATAGGTACTTGCACTATAATGTGATTAATTAAATTATTTATTTACTCTTGCTTTTATTATATTATGTTTTAGGATGGTACAGTGGATGTAATGGATATACCAATATCATTGACTTGCTTGTCTCCTACATTATTTTTAGTGCCCCATCTTCAAAACATTCCTTTGTTGATAGAGGTATGTTATAAATTATAATATTAAGATAGGGGTACAAACATGCTTTATTTGTGTGACTACAAGATTTGATTTACCCACCTGTATCATTAATGCCTGTATGCATAGTCATGTTGCACCACTACTTATAACAATATTGTTTTATTTTTGATAGGTACTTTTATGAAATTCTGAAAAAGTATTGTATACAAATTAATAGGTATATTTATGTTATAGAATAACTATGAAGTGTATGTTTCAAAAATTGCAGCAACTTTAAACAACATATTTAATCATTTGAATGTAAAACATGACCTTTATGCTGTTGGACCGTTAAGTGAAGCTGTAACTTACCATTTTTCTAAAATTCAAAAAGTTTGTACTATCATTATTAAACCTATATCATTTTATTTTATATTGATATCTTGATTTTAGACTTTAAGCACAGAGTCGAGCCGCCTAAATGTTATACTTATTGATAGAATAGTTGATATGTATGCAGTTACTGATTTTGCATCTAGCTGTCCATTAGACAAAATGAATATGTTATTGACTAGATTTCCCAAAACATGTTCTGATATAGCTGTCATAACTGAACCTTTGTTACAAGACTTAAAGTAAGTTGAATACATATTTTTAAACATGTTATATTTATGTCACCTAATTTTACTCATTGGATTGAGTAGATAAATATAATTACACAATCTGATATTACTTAGTCAATTTAAGTTTTAAATTATTATTATATTTATATATAAAATGAAGGGTTAAAAAGTAAAATATCTCTGTAATGAAGTTTCAAGTTTGTTATAAATATTTAAAGCATATTTTTTAATACAAATATAATTATTAATTTTTAAGGTACAAGTCGATCAATGATCAGTTACAAGTACCGATGTGTTTGGCTCCAACACTGAAACCTACACCTATAGTTGAATGGTTATTAACAAAAACTGAAAAAAATGTATTGGCTAGCATAAGAACTACATTAACTGAAAAACGTTCTGGACCTATTAAAAAAACTATATCAAGGATTACACCTCAGCTCTTAGAAACGCTTTTAGATGATGAAAAGTGTAATAGTAAAGAATCTATAGACTTTAAACAAGTAAATAAAATTGAATAAGAATTTATTTTGTTTTAGTTACAATACTATTAGTACTATAAAATTAAAATTTGTAACAATCTTAACTAAATTTCAAAAATAAAACAAGAAATAATATTCAAAACATTTATAAATGTTTGCTACTTTTGAGTTATAAAACACATTTTTATAAGAGCTGTCAAAAATGTGTGATTTCCTCCTCATGTGTTTATTTACCTGTCAACTGTCAGTAAATTATTATTATTACTTATTGCACATAGATTGTATAGATTATAATTTTTCAAATAGTCAATTATTTAAAAAAAAAAAAACAACTTCAATTTATAATGTCATTTACAATTTTTGAATTTAAGGCCTGCTCATAATATGTTGCCTAAAAGTAGTTAAAATTGTCATTCTATTTGTGAATTCTTATTTTAGTAACAAATTTGCAAATGTTATTTATACCAAAATTGGTAAACTAATTTGAAAATAATATAATATTTCAGCAAGTACTTTGTATTTGTGCTGCTTTAAAATCTCCAAATCTCTCAATAATTGAACTTGCTCAAAATATTGGCAAACTATTATTACAAAATATTTCAATGGAAAGTGACACTGACATCTTAACACAAGTGAGTTAATAATGTCTAGTGAATTATTAATAATTAAATAATATATGTATGTATTGAATATAATGTTGTGTTCATATTTATTTTTAACAAGGTTAGTCAATTATTTAAAACAAGGAAAGACAGAAAATTGACTGTAGAAATTCTATTATGTATTTTAGTTCAATTGTATTCAGTTGTTGAAGAAGATTTTGTAATATCTGAAGAACATCAAATAGACTTAGAGAATATTGTTGGTGAAGCCTTTTTTGAAGACTTGGAATATTTACCAGATTATATAATTAATGATTTAATAGGTACACATAAAACAAATTTGAAAATAATTCATTCATTTACATTTTATATATTTTTTTTTTTTTGTTTTTAAATGTTTAGGAGTGGGTTTTAGTACATTGCTGGGTTGTCAACAAGCTGCGGAAAAATTCCTTTTTATTTTAAAACAAATTAAGCTGTCAAGACAGAATTTTATTCAATACAGGTAGATTTTTATAATACAATTATTATAGACTATTTAGACTAACAAAAATATATTAACTATAATACCTACTACTAATAGTTCAATTATATTAATAAGTTGGCATTTCGTTAAATAAGATTAATAATTAATAACATAACCAGTTACTAGTCTACTATCTTTAATTACAGCAAAAACTTTGTTTTGTGCCATATCAATTTATGCATTTGTTATTGTGATGCAAGGCGAGTGTTTTTTTTTTTTTTATCTATTATTGTATTTATTTGGTCTTTATGGGAAATGTTTTGAACAGTAAATTGGCATGATTGTCTTTAAATTATTTTTCTTTTAACGTTAATCAAAATATGTAATAGATATTGACATATAGTTGGTTTGACTTATGAAATTTATTTGCATCTCGTTATTCTTTTACCACCCTACCACCACCAATAGTTCAAAAATATGACTGGATTTATAGGTAAAGCGAGAGACTGCTATTAGTAAACTGCACATTCCTACCTAGATTTCTATCTGAACGTTAACTCAAGTAATATCAAACAATTGAGGGATGGACGGGAATAACGTGCTATGTAACATTTTTTCAATTTTCATGTTTTTGTAAAATGACGTGCTATGAAGCAATCTCGACATATTCGAAAAATTCCCAGAATGTTTTTATCGTATACAATCATTATGTATAAACTTAGAAACTGTATAATACATTTTTCGTTTTTAGTTGTTCCTGAACATTTACGAATTGCTACATAGCACGTTATTCCTGCCCACCCTTCAATTATTTCTTATAGGCTAATCTATCTTTATTCATGTCATGGTCTAGTCATCTTAAATAACCACAGAATAGATTGCAATTAGTTCTGTGATATAACTAAAATTAGAAAAACCGACCCGTTTTTGACCACCGCCTGATGTAATATTTTTTCAAATAGAGTATATAATATATTGGATATTTGATATAATATAATATAATATCTTGTATTTTAACAATGTTTATACAAAATAAACAATCAACATTTCACATAGGTTATATTTAATAGAATAATGTTATTATAAATGTACAGTTGTTATTAAGGTTATTAGGATGTTAAGTATTACATAATTTATATTTATGATCAATATATTTACCTAGTAAGAAAAGAAAAAAATATTTATTAATTTTAAATCATGTACTTTTAATATAATTATAGTGTTACAAAATCATATTTATGATATTCACAATAATGCCAAAAATGTAATTTAAACTATAAAGAATTATTTAATGATTCTTGTATTCTATCTTTATACTTTTCACTGAATGGATTGTTCTCTTGGTTCCGACATTTATCTAATTTTTTGCTAATACGTGACAGTTCTTTTGTATGATCATCTGAAGTTTTGTTGTACAATAATCTTATTCTCCGTACAATTTCTATCAAATCTTTTAAATGCTCAGACCCCGTATCACCTAACAGTAAGTCAGTTACATATGAATCTAAATTTTCTTTAATTTGACTAGCTGAATGTAATACAGCAGCTAGTGCCAGCTGAGACGGTGCAAATAATAAACATGCGTCTGTAAACAATAATTTGTCAATGAAACTATCAATGTGAGTACGCATACGGTCTGGATCGGACATTCGTGTTCTAGTCTTTATGTCTAGAAGGAATCCTTCGATTGCCTTGAATGGATGGTGCACTTTGAGGTTGTACTTGATCTGTTCCATTAGAAACAACTCATTATTCAGTATCACTGTGGTTGCTCTTGATTGGTTTCCCTTAATGTTGGCGACAAATTGTGCGAGCGACACATTGAACTCATCAACTTTGCACGCCAAAAATAGACATGTGACCATTATTTCTTTGGGATGGTAGTCCATGACAGAATTGTACAGGTAAAATCGTTTCAGATAGTTTAAAGCAGTTGCAAATACGTACTTCGGCATGGTTGGCTGAAACTTGTGACAGAAATCTCTTAATATATACTCGTGACATTTCTGTATTATATGCTCTTCGTTGGCATCTAAAAAAAATGTGTTTCGGTAATCGGGACTCATGTGCGACCCGAATCTGGTAACGAACTTCTGGTTGGCATCCTCTCGCAATGCATTCAAATCCAACTCGTCTTTGAATATCCAATTCGTTTTTTGCGTGCTCGTTGGAAACATTTTCTCTTACTCAATTCAGTCGTTACTTTTGTTTAATGTTTATTATCACCATTGTTGCTTGATGTGCATGTTGTGTGTGTATAGCGCTCATAGCTGTTGTTGTTACCCACTTGTTTGTATTATATTATACTTCTCCGATACTCATACACAAAAATTAGGTTTACTGATAACAACGTTCAACTTGATAAGAACATATGTTATTTGTATTTTGTTATGATTTACACCACGAACTAAGATAAATAAATATAATATCTTTCGTGATTTAGTATTTACACAATGAAGACAAGAGACTATTATTATAGAAAGTAGAAACTGAATCTTTCATAAATGTACTCAGTGGCGCCTTGAAAATAAGGGGTGGGTGGGTATAATAACATAAAATAATAAACTTGAAATATTTTCATAATTAATCATAGATTATATTGGTTAATACTTTAATATTTACTAATATTATCAATTAAAATATGATAAAATTTATAAAATAATATCATTTTGAGTTTGTGGGTGGGTGGGTAAAATTTTTTCTCGCTACACCTGAAAAATATATATTGGGCCACTGAATGTATTATTATTATTTATTACTAGTCTATTAGTAGACAAAATAGTTTAGACAGTCTTCATAATATTTATATACCTACCTATTGGCTATAACCTATATCACCTTGGATTTATAACACAGTCGGTCACGGGCGACAGTTCTGACTTCTCTCCGGGCAGACATCTGTCTGGAGAGAGGACGCTATCCCCCGACCGGGCATGGCAGAAACCTAAATAAACCAAAATCAAAATTCTGCCAAAAACACACACACTTGTTAATACCTACTGTTCCAACCCCTATTACAAAACCCTACAAACAAGCTAATGCCCTTAGTTGACCGGCTTAAAAAGATCAATAAAAAAAAAATTGCAAATAAATTATATGAAAAATTGAAATAAAATGATTTGACATGTATAAAATAATAAATATTAATTTGAGAATAAATAATTAATTTGAAAATAATTTTCTTAACAGAAGACTCTTTTTGAGAGAAAATCCATATGTGCCAGCAGTATATAGTTCTTTTGTCAAACAGCTAATGGATGATGTGTGTAGTCCAATGCGACCTAATCTATCAGTTTTAAACACCAAGTCTGATGGGATAAAAGATTATATAAAACTTGGTTTCAAGTGAGTGTTGTTAAACAATTTAATTTTATATTTATATTTCATATAATGTAATTATTATAAATTATAATAATTCATTGGTTTTATAATAAAATAGATTTTTAAATCTATGATTTTACTCAAGAAAACTGTTGATATATTTTTTTCTTCCTCTAGTAAAATCATTAATACCGTAAACAAGCATCCACTAGATTGTGACCATTTGATAGTGTTCGTCATTGGTGGCATAAGTGGACACGAAGTGCATTCAATTTGTGAAGCGACAAAAAATTGTGGCATTCGAGTAAGTATAGGATCTACTAGAATGTTATCACCATATGAGGCAGTGCACTCATTGTTTAAAAAAGTTTAGTCAAAAATAAAAATTCACTATATTTATTTAATAACTTAACAAGAAAAAAAAAACATCAATAATTGGTAAAATTGTTCATGGAATGAATAAATGAGCAATATTATTTTGTTTTGTACAATCCCATTCATTATATTGTCAATGATCCCAAGTACCAATAAAAGTCAGTTGTTTATACATGTTGTGCTTTAAATTTTAATCGGATGTTGAATTACTAAACGAATGTAATTTTTCAATGGATAAAGACAGCTGTTCTAGGCTAGCCATTAGGGAGTGCATATTTTCTGTAGCTTTGGCAATGCCTTGTTCGCTGAGCGGATTCGATCCATCCTGTCTCACGCCAAGTTCAAAATGTAGCCATGCTAAATGTTCTTGTTGCTCACGAATAGCTGTCATTTGTTCCATACTGCAATCCTTACCTAAATGTTTACAAATGTATTATATAAGTCATAAGATATTATCACTGATAATTTTGCAATAAAATTATAATCCATCAGATAAATTTAATTGTTGTAATTTATTGTTTACCATTAACTTATACATGGTTTGATAATAATAACTATTATTTGTATGTTTTTTTTCTTTTAATAGAAAGTTGTATTTATAAAAACGGGAAAAAACTATTATAAAGTGTTTTTAAGAATATTATTTTGTAACTATTTAATAGAAATACTAAAAGCGATATAAGTAGATATTAAAAAAGCCATATATTTATAACGTTTTTTAAGAATGTGAAATTATTTATTATTTGCCTACTTTTAGTAAAAGAACATAACATTCAATCAACTTGTTTTAATTCAAATCTAACAGCAAGTGTCTATGTTATTATTATGATAATTGGAATTTCTTTTCTGCTTACCAAATGCACGTAATTTGCCAGAATGAAAATCTTCAAGTAGTTGCTGTAGGGCTTGCTCCATTTGTCTGACATCGGTCACATCTGACAAAAAACAATGATGTAGGCAACTTCTATCCATAGTTTGTTCAGAGAGTACTATGTGTTTTATATGGGACAGGATTCAACAACAAAAGCAACCAACACACAAAATATGTATAGATATGTATATATAAAAAAAAAAAAAAACAAAAAAAAAATAAATAAGCTGAAATAATAAAATGGGTAGGTAAATGCTAAAGTTATATTATACACGTTTTAATAATCCATGTTCAAATTATCTATTATGTATTAGTACATGAGAAAAAACTACTATAGGCGTGATGAATGAGTAACAAAAAAAACAGTGTTTACTGTAGTGCATGTGTTATATAGACTAGTTATATAGCAACCTATCTACATAATCTAATTTAAGTTATTAATATGTATAGATTGTTGACATTTCTTATCATAAAATGAACATTTTTAATAAGTATCATTTCCCATAGTCTAAAGTCACTTGAATAAATACTGAACAATATTACATTAAGTACAATTGTATACAAATCTAAAGAATCCTTGATAAAATATACGAAATATTTTTCTTAATTTAATTTGTTTAGTCATAGTTACTCATAAGTTATGAAGATTGACAATTATTATTACTTTTATGAAATAATTTGTGGATTAAAAATAATAACAATTGGACCCTCTTTTATTTGATAAAAATTTAAATTGTTAGTTAAATAAAAAAAAAATGTCTCAATCTTGAAACAAATATATATTTATTACAATTGTAAGAAATACTTTATTCTAACAATGCGTTTGATTAAACTTCTAACAGAGAAACAGAAGCGTAGACGCAATAATCAAAAATACTTATTGAATTGTGTATGTATAATTGTATTTGTATAATAAAATAAAATAAATTAAGACCTCTTTCGTTGGTTATTTTTAGACAAATGGTTTTAATTTTATAAATGGTTAAATGATTACATTTTTACTACAACAAATGTAAATCACTATCTTTTTAAAACGAATGTTTCAAAAAAAAAATTAAAAAAATTGTATATTTAGTTAAGTATTTATTAATTTAAGGAGTTAGTTAGATGCACTACAGGAGCGGAAGTGTTAGATCTTGAAAATAATAAGTTTGTCATTGTTTTACATTATTTGATGTTAAATTAGAATTTTAAAATTGTAACTTGACATTTACTTTAAAAAAATAGTAATTGTTACACAATATTTTTGGTAAACAAACATTTCGTCCCTGTCAATTATTAAGATAGGACATTTAGCTCCCGGGAATTATAAGATGTTACTTAGCCATAGTTTACCTGTATTATTTAAAAATTTAATTTGATGGATGAAAATAGTATTACAAGCAATGAATTTAAATTAAATAATTACACTGAAACATAGTATTGACATTTGAAATTAAAAACAAATAGTGACTGAATATCAAAACATAAATAATTATGTAAATGTATTTGTATTTTGTATTGTACCTAAAGATAATATTTTTATATAAGTAGTTTACTTATATTATTTAAAAATTTTATTTGACTGATGAAAATTATATTGTAAGTAATAATGTAATATTGTATTTTAAAATGTATATATTTTATGAACATACTTTTATTATACTGACATTTTACATTTGATAAAAAATTTAAATTTAAAATAAAAAAAAAAAAATAGCGATTTAAAATACATGGACTAAACGGCCTTTCTTAATAATTGACAAGGACAAAACGTCTGTGGATTGGTTTTTTTTTTTTTTAAGGGGAAAAATTGACCGTGATTCAATATTTTTACATGCAAAAAAATAAAAAAGATAAATAAAAGCAAAATATATACCTGAAATAATAAGTTTCTATCGATCAAGTATTTCTTAGCAGAAATATTTTTATTTTGTGAATAAGTTTAGATGTAATTATTAGATACTAAGATACTTCAGCCAAATATCACAAATGGAAATGACTATGAGAATTTGTAATAACAATTACAATATTTTAGATTGCCAAATAAAATTTAAAAAAAATAAGCTATTTTTATTACACATATTTTTTTAGTGTGTTGTCAATTATTCTTTTGAAAAATTATGGCCTTTAAAAACTTTCAATACCATAGAAATTGTACTTTGATTGATGAATATTGTTGGTTACAAGTTTTTTTTTTTGTTAAATCAATTTATCCAAATTCCAAGTGTAATACAATGTTAGTTTATAAAAGGTGAATTTTTAAATAGTTCACTACTACACTATATTATACAGTTAATTATTAATGATACAACAAGATTGGATATTTTCTAATGTTCTATACACATAAATGCAATTTATTTCCAATTGTACTTATTATGTGGCTCTATTAAAATATAATACGATGTGTTTCATTAATAGAAAATGTTCTAAGACATAGGTATTGTAATTTGTATTTCTTAAACAAGTATTTAAAAGTTTTTTATTTGGTAATTTTTACTACGACTGCTACATAGTATCTACCTAATTATACATTCAATCATAGTTAAAATAAATCAACTTAATGATAAAAGTGTTAAAATGTTTAAAGATTATGTGAAGGATTCAATGCATTAATTGATTAAGTCACTTAGGTTTACTAAACAATTATTATTAACAGCAAAATATGGTATAATCTGTCAAGTGTAAATATTATGTAGAAAACTACTTATGTAGGATTAAACGAATAATAATCGGTATTAGGTAAAAGTAATTAATCTGATATTGAACCAACCTTTTTTATTTTGCAATTTACTAAAATTTGGAGGTGGCGGTCGTGGTGGTTTGTAGTCATGAAGTGAACTGCGTCCTAATCTCTCGTTAACACACATCAGGCGAGTCGGACCACCTACGTCTTCTTCAATACAAATAAGTTAAAAGATTAATATTGATTAAATTTAAGTATAACTAAAGACATACTAGATGGTTGGGTTTGTGGTTTATCTTGATGTATGGATGAAGTACTAGACAATCTAGCTGTAGATTTGTGGCATTCGTTCTTTTGGCTTTCGATAGAAAGTGACTACATTTTACAATTAACAAACAGTATTAATAAAGATTGAAAGTAAAAAGCTCTAATTTCAAAGCACCTTTTCACTTACATTGCTAGTCTTAGTTCGGCTATCTGAATGGGAATGTGCTCTCGGAGGAGGCTTGGGTGTAATAGGAGGTGTAATTTGTGCGATGTCAGTTGGTCTGGGTTCTTCGTCAGAAGACACCAGTTGTTCCAGTTCGCATTCTTCCTTCTCGATAGACATGATCTGGGCACGCTGAAGTAATTAAATTTAAATTTGAATGTGGACAGTTTAAAATTTCTATCAGTCAGCTATATTCCTTTTGAACTGTGAAATTAAACATAATAAGTGGATAAACAACACGAGTTTGGACAGCAGTGAAATATTATTCCAAAACCTACATCAAGGCAAACATATTGAAAATATGAAGACCTTGGACAGTGAACTTAATTACCTACTTAATAGTTAATTATTAATAATAACACTATTGATACAGTGATACAGTTATTTAATAACTATTGTGAATTGTTAATTGTTATTAATGAAAGATCGTTCCAGACAACTACAGTCTACAGCCTACAGCAGATAATTTACAGGAGTAACTATCAAAATCAAACTAGCAAAATATGACAAGATCCAAATAACAATACGTATAGGTAACTTATAAGCCTGCTATTAGTGCTATTGCATTATTATCATTCAGTCTAAACTCTCCAACCCGCAAACAATAACAAATAGCAATTGATAACAGGTTTTAGTGTCTCCCAAAGTCCCAAATTCATCGAGATAGATAAGTATTTTTATCTATATCGAAGCCCAAAATATAACATGGCTTAACATAATATTATTTAAATAATAATATAATGTTCACATAAAACATCCATACAGAATATATTTCAAGATATATTTTTAAGATTTAAAATTGGTAATAATTAAACGCAGTAAAACACATAATATAGGTACTAGTACCTACACGGCATATTGACGTACAAGTAATCAGGGTAGAAATAATTTATTGAAAATTGATGTTTGGACAGTCCAAATTGGACTGTGTCCTGACCCGATGCTGGACCAGTAGTGTCAAGAGGACGTGTTTTTTGTGTCATTAGTGTTTAATTAGTGTCATGTACGGAATTGACCAATTTTGGTTCACCACAATTGAGTGGAGTCCTAACGGTGTCTTGGAATACTAGAATATATTTTTTTACAGTTCCGATTAAAAACCTCGTCACAAGTTTGTCCCCCCCAAAAACATATTGGTTGCTGACTTATAACATTTCAAGGCGTTGGATCTAATTTTATGCCAAGTATCTATTTCTGATTCAAACATGTATAAAAAATAGATTATCAAGTACCAACCATTACCGAAATTGTCGAATTTATTGTCTAAACGTAATAGCAGTAAATAACGTAATAACATGCCGGGTAGAAATATTGGTTTTCAGTTAGTGTCAGTAGTTATATTTATTGGTTCTGGACTGGTGCCAGAAACCAGTCCAACACATAAATAATAATATTTACATATTTACTCAAAGAAGTACAAAAAAAAATTTTCAGATTAAACATTTTTTTTCTCATAAATGTTCTCAATTTCGTTATATATAAGTATAGAACCAACATTACAATTCCTAATTATATCAAAAATATAAACATAATTATATGTTAACAAATCTAATTAAATACAAATATTATAATATTCTGTATTCATTAGTAAATAATGTTATAACTTAGGTATAAGTGTAATTATTGAGTAAATGTTTTTTTAATTAAATAAGAAGCTGATTATATTATTTATTGGGTGTATTTTTTAATTATTTATGTCATACTGACCTGTCAATTTTTTCATTGTTTTTGACACGCCGATACTAGGTACTAGTTTGCCATCCCTGTTCTAGACCAACTACGCAAATATGAATAGGTACCTATATATTTTGTTAAATTGTACTTTGTAGAACATAATATTATAATAAAACAACCACAACTATGTACGCGTTGACCACAATATAATGCAATGCAAATTACAATAGTATATAATTATATAAAATAAATACCAAACTTACTTGTCTCGAAATCAATGCGTATTATAGTTGTCTGCTTTACACTTTACAGTTTATGAAAATAAAATAAAATTGACTTTGAAATGTACCAAATACTATATCATAACACAGATATGGATAGCATAATACAGACATGGATAGCATAATACAGACATAGATTTATAGAACCTACAGTAGAATCCGTCATCCGTGTAAGACAATACCCCGCCTAATACGCTCATTTTTACGAGTTCCGTGTTTCTGACAACGTTCAACATAACCCGTATAATACGATTTCACTCTTTTTCACTATTTTTAACTGGTCCCTATTAGAACGTAGTACTTATTAAGGGCACGGACATTTGTCTTACAAGTACATAAGTAACATAGCAAATTGTATGCTCAGCAGATCCCGATAGTGATAGGTAGTGTCGTAGTGATAGTGATAGCTCCATTAGTTTAATAATTAGAATGAATTGACTTCTTATACAATTTTAAAGTAAAATAATTATCTAGAGCGTCTCATTAGCCTTTTATTATATTTTAGTTTTAAAGTGAATCATGAGTATTTTAAAATTGCAAATTTCTTGTACTTTATTATAAACAGAAACATTCGGAGCCTAACCTAACCGTGTATCCACATACCGCTTTTTTTTGTCTATAGTATTCACTAGAATTCTAAATAAAAATTATTCGTTTTTCAACAAATATGCGAATTGTATAATATGATCAAACCTTGTACAGTAGTACACCAAAAGTTACATTACCAGTAACTAAAACTAACCAACAACATTTCTTATTTGTCCTTTATGTAATTTTCTCTTTTCAATTATTCAATTAAAATAATTTTAAAAAAATTATCATTTATTGTTAAAAATAATACAATTACTGAATTTAACAGAAACTACAGGTACCTATTTTGTGGGGGGCCCAGGTCTTATAATTTTTAAGAGGGCCTACCGGGATTTTCCCGGTATCCCGGTGGGCCAGTACGCGCCCGTACATACATACATATATTATTGATATTATAATAATATTATGTTGGCTATAGTAAATAAATATACCTAAGTGTAGTACCGTGCTGGCTAAAAAGGAGACTATATTGTTTTGTATACGTAAATGTTTAATCGAATAGAATTTATTTGTTTATTTATACCATAATAGTTGCAATTAGTTGAAAATACATATCCAAATAGTAAGTTTTATTGTTTTGATTTTTTTTAATTTTATATTTAATATTGAGTATTTAAACTTAAAGTAAAGTTATAAATTAATTTAATTGTTTTTCCTCTGCTCAAAACAATCAACATTCAACACTGGAGCCAGTACGAAAGTTTTCGAAGTAATATTCAAGAAATTTCAGCAAAGTCGTTGATACCGAAAAAAAGGAAAGGTCTTACGGAAATCCTTATCTCTCTCCCTTCTCGCTGGTTATGATTAGAAATGCATGAGTGAGGATTTTAATTTTTTAATTTTTTAAAACGCATTGTTAGTAGTTCTCGGTAAGGGAATGAAATCTTAATTTTAACAATGCACTAATGATTTAAAAATATATATAAATGAAAATAGTCGATGACGAGGATAGTATTTTAAATGTTATAATTAGGGCTCGGAAGTTGTAGGACTGTATAGGAGTTGTATATTATTCTATATTATATGCTCTTGATTTATAGAACATAAAGCAATTTTAATTTTGTTGTGCATATTTCTTGCATATTTTTCCTTTTTTAGCTCCTATACCTAGCTTCCGAGCACTATAGTTATAACTTATAAATAATAATATAAATATTTCTACAGGTAAGTCTGGTAAGTAATATACAATAGTTTAAGTGCAAATAAAGTGTCAATTTAATTTAATTAAAATTACTTGAATGGTTTATATATTTATTGCCACTATTCTAACTTTGGTTTGTTGTTACTGTTACATTTTTCACCAATATCCATATGGGAGTATTAAAAAAAGTAAAGTTCCTAATAATGAACCCGTGTAACTTATAATTTTATGGGTGTTGGCAGAAAAAATTAACAGTAGGTATACCTGTATTGAAATAAATTATTTTGAATAATAATTCACCAGTGCGTGCGTTTAATAATTTAAATAATTAAACTCTTATAATATTTCCTATTGATATAAAATTATATCCACAAATTCGCCATATAAAAAAAAACTCAAGCAGACTTTTGCAAATTTTACCATCATTACATTATTATTTTTCTAATTATTGTCAACCATCACGGTACTTTGTCAAAACACATAGGTACGAGGTACCTATTAAACAATTCTTATATAGATACGTTAAAAACAAAAACGTATCCACAATTGATCATTAACAGTAAATTACTTTGTGGTGAAAGTGTGGATAAAATTGACACTTTATTTGTACATGTGGATTAGGCCTTAACGGGGACACCACAATAAAAAAAACGCGCCATGTATAATACCTCATGCATTTAAACGGACTTCATTATTCCAATGTTGTCGTTTATCGCTAAGGTGGTGTGGAATTTTATACACAAATAGTGGCGTATATAGGGGGTGGGCAAATACGAATATATTCATAGCCTCTAAGTAATAGATCACTTGCAAGTTTCTGTCTACTATGGTCTATAGCCCACCCCAAAATTATTTCTATATACGCCACTGACCATAAATATTATAAATATTATTATGCAATACGCATTATTGTACGAAATACAATAAATACTATTTCTCTCCAAAACATATAACTTAAACTCTATGATTTATTTTTTTTTTCAATTTAACTACATATTAGCTACCACCTAGTTTTCATGGCGGAAGCGCGGGGCCCTATAATTCGCAAGGGGCCTAGGACAAATGACCCAGTTGACCTAACCTAAAGCCGGCCCTGGAGACTGTCTGGTCATCAGTGTTAACCCCCATGGGCCATGACCATACTGTCCACATCGGTTGTCTTGGTGCTCGCCTGTTGCTTTACGTGCGCAGACTGACCTAATGCGGGAATATGCGCTTGCGTTCCCGTCGTCTGTGCAGGCGAACACCCGTGTCTCTGTTAAATTTGTCCCTACACCCGTGGCTGCCCCATGAGCCGGTTGATGTTGAACACACGTGTCACCCGTGAGGTGAGTGTGTTCAGTGGAGGGGTGGTGTAGGTTGGGGGGGTCTGTAAACGGGTGCCGTTTGGTGATGTGACGGAAGAAATTGTCGTAGATAGTTGGTCGTTCGTT